TGGGAGAAAGACATGGCAAAATGGTGGGTGTTGACATCACAAAATGAGAAACAAGATATGAGGATCAGGTAAGGAAACAAGTTAAAAAATAGTCAGTGGGTCTGTGGCAGGATTCAAAGAGGGAAGCAGCAATGCACTCAGAGTGGCGAGCTGGGATGGCTGGGTGGTAGGAGTGGTCAGGGAAGGAAGCCCCAGCTCATAGGGACTCAATCTGGACCCCTACCTTGTATCAGCCACCTCCCACTTCCCCTGGACTCCACTCCCAGACCTGTCCATACCCTGAGACCTGGCTAACTGGAATGTGCTCTGCAGCTGTTTGCACAGAGTTGTACTCATGGGGCTGGGAAGGTCACACCCCCACAGGTGGAAGGGTAAGTTGGCTTGGTGTCTGAACCATGTCCTGCACAGCAGAATTCAGGGTTAGACGTTTGTCCACACAGAACAGGGGAGTGGGGGTAGGGACACTGCATCCTGGGATACAGGAGGATTGCAACTTCAGCAGCTCATCTGTTGGGGGTGGCCATACATTCATGGAACATGAGCTGGGTAACAGAGATCAAAGATAAACCTGCCCTGGCATAACTAAGTCACCTAAAGTGTTCTTAAAACTGGTTTCCGGTACTAACGGGCACCTATACACGAGCGCAGAAGTTGTTCCAATGTGCTGGAATTCCAGTGCATTGGAGCAGACTCTGTTAAACTGAGTCTGCTGGGGCATGACAATTGCCACACTTCAGCAGTCTCCTGCATCTCCATGCTTAAAAACGGCAGCAGGGGCACTTGAACTAAAGCTTGTCAAACGAGCTTTAGTTCAAGCTTCCCCAACGTCATTTTTAAGCCTGGGGACACTGATACAGAAAATTCGGTGTCGCTTTAATTAGAACGACTCTCGGAGCTGCTCCAATTAAAGCGCCGCCACCACCCCCCAGAGCACATGTAAAAGCACCCAATGTGTAGACAATGCAGGGTTAAGCACTCCCCAGTAGCCACCTAAAATGTGTAAGTAACAAGGCCCTGACTCTTCTTAGATTAGGATTAAGTATCAGTCAATACTTTCAGCCCTGTTCTGTCAGAAACATACTGTCTATGCATATATCTGATTTGAGTATCAAAAACAAATAAGTGGTCTTAAAAGTTATTCCTAGGAGACTTGTCAATATCACAAAAAACCAGAGGCACAGAAAGATGAGAACCTGAGACAGGTAGGGAAAGCAAGCACAGAGGTATGCCAACAACTATAGGTGGGGAGGGGAGGGATATGTGGGTGAATGAAAGGGAAGACATAACTTCCTAGGCTACTGCTGATGCTGTATCAGCATCAGCTCCACTCAGGCAGCAGCAGGCCCATGGCCAGGCTCCCTGGCAGCTGCCTCTGGTGGCCCATTTGCTCCTCCACCCCCTCCTTCCCAACCCCAGATATATACAGGGCACAGGACTATGCCTGGTCTGGCAAAGGCTCCCAGAAGGAAAGGAGGGATAGAAGAGTACCATTCCATTTGCTGCACTCACCCTCCATCCCCAATATACTGCTTGGTGCAGCAACGCGCTGCTTAGGTCCTACAGCCAGACAAGGCAGTGCAGGACTCCTTTTGCTGTGGCAAAGCCTCCCATGGGAGCAATTCTGGGACCCCCAGCCTAGTCAGTACCTATGATTAATGTCCGGTTTGCCCTGCCCTAATTACACCACTGCAGAAGACAGCGGCACAATTTGCTCCATTGTTGGAAAACCCAACTGTAAAAATTTAGGTTCGTCAAGGACTCAGGTATTACACAAAGGCAAAATTTGGGCAAATTGGGAGAGAAGTTTCTACAATAACAGTCTGAACTAAGTCTTGCCGTAACACATGCTGCTGTTCCATTGTATAAAGAAAATTTAATTATTATATAGAATAATAATAGAATCACAGAACCGGAAGGGATCCATAGGATCATCAAGTCCAGTCCCCCGTTATGTCATTTTGCAGAATAAAATACACTTTAATGCTACTAAATAGTATCCTTCAACTTCAAACATAATAGGTTATCATCTTGTGATACCCTATTAAAATGAAGTCTAGAAAATTCTTTCATTTTTTACCATGCTGGATTTTGAACAAATTGATTTAAGTGCATAAAATACATTCAAAAACAGCAAAATCGTTCCATTAATTATTTACCATTTTGAGTTCTGAGTTCAGAAAGTGCTTGCAGTTTTGACTGTAGTTCTTCCTTTTCAATTTCTAAGTCTGAGATATGGTTGTTTAAAGCAGATATGTCATTATTCTTTGATGATAACTATGAAAAGAAATATTTTTGTTACTATGCTTCAACAGAACTGAAATGCCAAATCCTAATCTACACTATAATTTGATATTTTATAAGATTTAGGGTAACAGTGTTTCTAAAATAAAAAGATACAACATTAAATACTTATTAAAAACACTCAAATATATTATTTTAATTTGGCAAAATTCACCTTCACCTTATGACATATAAAAACATTTTTAAAGTAACTTTCAGTGGACCTTTTACCCTTTTAAAAATTAGATATATTAAATTTAAAAAAATAAAACAATAATATTAAATTTTAAAATGTCACATGTACACTTTTCAGTTCATCCTCCAGCTGTTTGATTTTTGATTTGGACCAAGCCTTCGTTTTAAGGAATTTAGCTTCAGATTTGCTTGCCTCTTCTGTTTTCAACTTCACCTGACCTAGCAAACAAACCAAAATCATCATTTAGAATCCTAAGATCAATGTAACTATGCAAAGTATTTCAGCACCCGCCTTTTTCTCTTTATTCAGAAGCCCTTATTAAAATTTCTACGGTATATCTGTAACTAAAAGGAAAAGGAGCAGCTTTAAAAGTGCTAGGCCAAATCCAAAACTTAAATACATCTAGTTTAGGGATTGTCAACCAGGGGTATGCATACCCCTGAGGGTACTTTGAAAGGTCCCATGCGGTATGTGGGGGCAGACAGGGATGGAGCGCTGCCACCCCATGCCACTGCCTCACAGGAGCAGGACCAGGGTGGGGTGAAGGCAGGGCTGCACAGATGCTGTGCTGCCGCCGCTTCGCACACCCCGGCTCGGTGCCTGGACACTCCCCACCCTGCCCCCGGGGTACACTTACTAAAAAGGGGCCACCAGGAGTACACTTATTAAAAAAGGTTAAAAACCCCTGATCTAGTTGTTGCTTTGACCCACTACACCATAGTATTTGAGCATCTTTAAAGTAATTTGACTCCTTCCCTGAAGCTAAAAGACATATACTTGTATTGCACCAGGTATGCATTTAGCTCACAATATGCAATAGAATGACAACAGAGTTCTTCAAATACAAGAGCTATGCTTTAATAGGATACCTTCTAGTTGCTCCATCCTTTCTTTGATTACAGCATCTATATCTATAACTTGTTCTGAGTTACTCTGTCCATTATTACTTAATTCTGTCACTCGTTTCTGAAGCTGCATCAGTGATTGATCTTTCTCTTGCAGCTTAGTTTCAAGCCTGTCTTGGATTTCACGTGCTTCAGCATTATGTTTCTCTTGCATCGCCCTCAATTCAAGTTCATGTTTCTCTAGGCTCTTCTTCATTTCAAGTTCATGTTTCTCCATCATGTCTTTCAACTGGGCTTTCATTACATGTTTCTCAGCATCTAGCTTAGACTGGAGATTATTTTTCTCTGACTGAAGGAGTTTCAGGTTTTCATTAATTTCCTGCATAAAAATAACAAAATTTCAATTTACACACGGGTATATATATGTCTGCATATGAAACTTGCTTAGTTTTCTTACAAAAATTTCCTAGATATTCTTACATGTTTAGCATAATTTAATGATAAATCACTGTCAGGGTTGGTGAATTAGTGTCATAAGGGTCTAAAGTGACAGCTGAAACTCCACTGGGTAGCCTGCAATGCTCTAATGCAGGGCTGGAGAAAATCCAGCCTGCCAGGCCATTCTATCCGGTCCACAGAGCCCCTAAAAAATTTAGAAAATATTTATCTGCTCCTGGCCGTCTGTCAAAGATGACAGGAGCAGTACGACACAGGGGGAGCCGGCAGTAGGACCTGCAGCCCAGCCCTGCCTACCTCCACTCATTTCCCTGCCTTCCTGCCCCCATACTGCTCCAGCACCACGTGGCTCCTGGCAGCCAGACCATGGGACTGCACTGGTAACCTGGGAGGTAAGTGTGTGTGCATGTGCATGTGAGCGTGCCACATGCACACTCCACCATACACACGCACCCAAACACCCCCTCGCACTGCATTCAATTCTGGGTTCCACAATTCAAGAAAGATGTCGAGAAGCTTGAGAGAGTCCAGAGGAGAGCAACATGCACAATCAGAGGACAAGAAAATAGGCCTTATGAAGAGAGGCTGAGAGCCATACAACTCTTCAGCCTAGAAAAGCGCAGGCTCAGGGGTGACCTGATGGCTTCCTATAAGTATGTAAGGGGTGTGCATCAGGATCTGGGGGAACACCTGCTCACCAGGGCACCCCAAGGGATAACAAGAACCAACAGTCATAAACTCCTGCATGACCACTTTAGGCTGGACATAAGGAAAACTTCTTTACTGTCCGAGTCCCCAAGGCCTGGAATAGACTCCCTCTAGAAGCGGTACAGGCACCTACTCTGGACTCATTCAAGGAATGACTCGATGCTCATCTTGCTGGGATCCTTTGACCCTAGCTGACTTCCTGCCCCTGGTGCAGGAGGCTGAACTCAATGATCTCTCGAGGTCCCTTCCAACCCTAATGTCTATGAAATCTACGAAATACACTCAGACCCTCATACCCACACTCCCTCAGAAACCCCAGCCACTCTCCCCCACACACATCCTCCCACAAACCCCATACCCACCCACACCCCACATATCCACACACACACCCATTTGTTCCCTCACCCCCACACCTATCCGCCCCCCCACAGGCGCACCCACACCCCACATACCCACAGCCCCCCATAAACCTATACCCACCCCCCCACAATATACACAAATAAGACTTCATTTTAAGCTATTATATACAATCACCTCTATGTACACTAGACAAACACATGTAAACCAGAACAAAAATATTTTTTGAAATCAAATTAATGAATGTTTTAGAGATGTTTGCTTTTTAGAATCCAAAAGGGTCCACACGTCCATTCAAAATTTCCAGAGAGGTCCAGCAAATGAAAAAAGGTTAAAAACCACTGCTCTAGAAAGTCCTTGAAAGATGATGTTCCCATAACAACATAGAGGGCAAAAACTCTAGTAAACCCCCAATCAGTAAGAGAAAAATAAAGTTTGTGAAACAGTGACATCAACAGTAATCAAGACAGTCTATTACAAACCATTTACATTATTTATTTTTAATCTATAATTTGTTAAAACAATATCTTCTAAAGCATTTTGTGCGTGCAGCCCTCAAAAGTGAGTGGAGTTTACAGAAATGAAGTTACATGGTGGTCTAGAGAAGTGGTCTCCAAAGTGGGGTGCATGCACCCCAGGGGGTGTGCAAGACGATCCATTGGGGTGCAGGAAGAAAATATTAGAACTTCTATTTCTATTTATATAAATATACATATATTGGGGGGGTGCTCAAAAATTTTTTACTGATGGGGTGCGCAAATATAAATATACATATATTGGGGGTGCGTACTCAAAAATTTTTTTTACTGATAAGGGTGTGCGATCAAAAAAGTTTGGAGATCACTAGTCTAGAGCTTTGTCAGCACTAACTGCCTCATAATGGGTCCTAGGCAGATTTAAAGTGTTGGTTTTGTCCAAGAGAGTTCTAAATGACCTGAGACCATGCTAACTGACAGATCACTCTGTTCCCATCTGCTATTGTTTATTAGTCAGAGACTACAATGAGGATCTGGGTTCCACTGTGCTATATGCTAAATAAACACAATGAACCTCTTACCCTAGCAAGTATTAGAAAAAAAATCAAACTGGAGTCGCTTCCACTTGAAGAGACTGTTAGAGCAATGATTCTCAACCATGGTGTGGTAGCACTCCGAGGTACCTTTCAAGGGTGGATCAGGGTACCACACAAAGTTAGCACTGTTAGGTATGCAATAATGATTCACAAGATAAACCCAGAGATTTAAAATAGAAATCCAGTGCTAAAAACATTCTGGCCTGCTGTTACTTTTCTGAAACAGAAAAGCTGCTCTATTAGTTTTTCTCAAAAAATGAGTGAAAACTAAGGCTGGTGTTTTCCAAGGGATGCCTTGAGTCTGCAAAGGTTGAGAATCACTGTGCTACAGAGACACTGTAAACAAGTAGCCCTCAGGTTTTAGCATTCGTTTCATCCTCTGATCTGAAATATCCCAAAATAGTTCACTTTCAGTACAAACTGGAAGTCTACTTCATATAGCTGACTCTGAAGCAGAGAGATATGATGTAGGCTGATGATTCTGACTGGGGTGACATTCTGAGAGATTTGGGAAGCACTAATTTAATTTTCTTTTGGCTTATTTTCTGCTTTAGGTTAATACTGACTTGTATGACTATGAACCTATCTTTAACTAATATTAAACGTAACCAGAACACTCATTATGTATGCATACACCTGTTTAAACAGAAGACCTTAAAATAATGGCTTTTTAGTCTCTAATAGACAAGTCTTAACTGCCCCATACACTATTTCTTACTTTCAGCTGCTGGTCCTTGTCATCCAGTTCCTTCTGCAGCATAACTATCACCTGTGTCCTTCCCAGCATGACTTCCTCTTTTTCATGTAGCTTCTGCTTCAAGGCCTTTAATAACTGATCAGGGAAATAGAGAAGTTCATTTTACATGACAAAGATAAAAAGCAGCTGAGCTAGGCACCTCTGTCTCAAATGCATGGCATTACCAGTAACCTGCAAGATATTTCAATCTGTCACAGCTACGCAAATCAAACCAAGTGAAGGGGTTCCCAATGGTACTGTACCTGTTCTAGATCAGCGCTTGCATCAGATCTAGCAGCTAGTTTAAAGAGCTCCTGTTCATGTTTCTGTGCTTCTATAACAAATTCCTTTTCCTTTTCTTGGATAATATTCTGAAACATACGTATCTGAAAACAAAGTCTTAAATTAGTTTGAAGCAAACCACTCTATTTGCAGGATTCACTGAAGGATGCAATAACATAAATTTACTTGTACAGTGGTACCAGTGATGCTCCTCTAGAAGTGGAGTTTCACCAGAATAAATCCAAATCAACTGAGGGAAGAACTAGGCCTTAAATACAGGGAATGTTACAGTATAGTATGAATCCCTAATGGTAAGAAGGAAAGTGTCTCACATTATACACCTGTGTTCTCCTTCCTAGTTTGATTCTGTTCCATGTCCTAAATTTCATTTCATCCTACAGTACACATTACTGACTCTTATATACCTCTTTTCTGATTCCATTACCTCTTTCCAAATTACTGCCTTGTATCCCAGCTACATTCCCCTTACTGTTTGTTTTCCATTTCCAAACTTATTTTTGTTGGTCACCCAACAAGCGTTATTAAGCTTAAATATAACCTTGGGAGCCTGACCACCTTAAGGATTGAAAAGCCTGTACTGCTTTTTAATAAGAGAAGTCATGTTAGTCAAAGATCCAGCCAGAATTCCATTTGAGTAATTACATCCAGCCTATTCAAAATACCACACATATTCCAACTACATCTCTCTATTTTAGCTCTATTTATTATCCTAAAATTATTAATAGAGCTTCATGCTGCAGCTAAATCTACAGTAAAAAGGAACTGTTATGTTGTGTATAAAGGCATAAATATAGTCGCAAAATATTTGGGGAATATCAAGACAGAGGGTATTTTATAAAGGTTCAACACACTCATCTCCATAAAATCAGAGCGCTGACCTAAGTCAGAGTCAGTGCTCTGAATAATCCAGGACTGGGTACAACTGTTACTGCTGGGGGAGGCGGGATAAAATAATTATGGAGATAAAAATGGAGATAAATAAATTATGAAGAAATGGAGATAAAATAATTATGCAATTATTTTATCTCCATTTCAAGAACTAATCATCCAAAAAGCACGAAGAACTTTTTCAACACTCTCAGAATTACCATTCAAAAGCAAAGAACTGCATCTCTCTCTTCTTTTTTGAGACAGAGGTATCTGACAACCACTACATCAACTCTTGGCACCAAAGCAGCAATTTTTACTGAATGTTTACTTACATTTTCTATATACATAGCTTCTCGTTCTTGGAAATGGCCCTTCTCTTTGCTCTGAAGATTTTGAAGACTTTTAATCTGTTCCTGGAGTAAACTACATCTTTCTTCACTGTCTCCAACCTTCTTTGTAAGGTTCTCAACTAGAATCTGCATGTTCTGCAGCGAAGACTCTTTTGCAGAAAGCTGATTCTTTGGAATAAAAGACCCAAAACTGTTAGAGAAATATACCTAGGACTAAACAACAAAGGGAACAATATGATATTGCTAGCTTCTCTACAATTAAAGCAAATACAAACCAAAATCTACATTTCAGGTATTTTAATCTGCCCAAGAGATCTGCTAGCACAACTGAAATTATTCCCAATATACCTATTTCAAAATGTTCTTTCAAACAGCCTGGAGAAAATAACAAACAAATACATACCAACATGGTCAGGTTCCTTGACCTTCCCACCCCAGTGCCTGCCTATGCCCCCCTCCCTTGCCTCCCTGCCACTACTTTCACCACTGCAGCAGGGGAGGGACCGACATATTTGAAACAACCCTCCAGTAATTAAACACCATGTGGGAAATTATACAAATTTATAAATTTTCCATGTACAGAAACTAATTATTAGGAGGTCGTCTTACATTCAAAATAGTCTTGGAAGCAGGTAAATATGGTATTTAAGCCACCAATAATGTGCACATATATTAGAGGTATACCTTCAATTCTTCATTACAGGCAAGTGTTACTCTTGTAACATCGCCTCCTCCACATGCTAAATGCAAATCAACAATGTAGGCATCTTTTTCATGTAGTTTCTTTTCCTTTTCTACAAGCATGGCATCCATTTCTGCCCCTCGCTGATACTGCGCCTCCAATTCAGAAGTCTAGAGAGAAAAGGTGCTTTTACTTCCAACTTTTAGTGTGCTACAGAGAAAAGGGATGGCTTCACTACTCCCCTACTGCCCTTCCTAGGGTAATGAGACGGTCAAAATCCGATTTCTAAGCAGGTTACATTTTGACTGCAGTTTAACTATAGAAATGACTGAAGTGAAACAGCATTTTGAACCAAAATAGGGAGAGTGGACTAATGCACAATGTTTACAACCCCGTATATTCCTACACCATAGCAAGTTCAAATGTAGAGCTTTATTCTCCACAAAAACATGGCAAAATACCCATTTATTTTATTGGGGCAGGACCTGACATGCAGTCTGACTTATCTGAGCAGAGTTTTACAACACATCTGTTTAGTCTTTAAAGAAATGGATAGAACAAACCCAAGGTCAGTTTAAAAACAAAAATCTTACTTTATTTCGTAGCTCTTCATTTTTTTGTGCAACTTGGGCTTCTAGGTCTTCAATCCTCCTTTTAAGTACTAGTATTTTCCCACGATTTGCAGCAGCATTTTCATGGTCACTATCTTTAGATGCCTAAATGTAAACAGAAAGTTTTGGCTCCTATAAGCAAATAATAAATGCCTTCTGCAACTTCATTAGCTCAAGCACTACTGGTGGCAGACACTCTAATCAAGAAAACAATATTGTATGTTTCCAAGTGGTCTCAAGACCTCAGTGTTTTGAAGAGCTTGACAAAATATTAGACAAAGAAGTGAAGACATATATGTCAAGGCTATGTTAAGGCTTCAAAATTCAAATACAGTAAAAGCTCTGTTATCCGGCATCCCCCAGTAATGGGGATCAGGGGTCAGATGAATCAGATGAATCAGGGGTCAGATGAATTTGATGCCCCTGAGTTAGATGAATGCAAAAAAGTACTGTATACTTAATTTGACCATAATTGGACTCAGCAGGACAAGTTTGGACATCAATACAACTGGGTCCAACTACACAAAGCTGACTGCAGCATAAGAACACAAAAGTCTACAATGTAAAGGGTAAACTCACTTTTTTTTGCTCTGCTTTCAACTCCTGTTGCCCAGATCCTGATAACTGCTTCTTAAGTTCTTCTAGTTGGGAGGTCAGGGATGTCACCTTGGCTCTATTGTGCAACTTTTCTTTAGAAAGCTTTGCTTCAGAAGCTTCTTTTTCTTCCTACAATTATTAATTTATAGCTATAAAATCCCTACACGATGATTTATCTACTCAGACAACTTAATAAAAACACAATCACAAATCCAAAACTTCCTGAGAAGACTGCAAATAAAGACGCCTAATATTCTTTTCAGTGTTACTAGGGATACGCTCTTGGCTACTACTGCAATTTAAAGGGCCAACATTACTTACATTTCTGTATTAAAGATTTTTTTTCTTTTCCTTGGTTAGTAATATCACTGCAAGAGCGAAATTTTCCAAATGAAACAGTGATTTTGGATTCCTCTGGTTTTGGATGCCTGGTCTCACACAGTTTCAAATAGCCTCATTTCCAAGAATAGATGCTCAACAATTATCATGCAGGCTTTTTATTCAGCTAGGATAGTGGAACTAAGATAAGATGTTTCCTATCCACACTGATGAACTAAATGCTAAACAGGTGCAAGGACAACCGTCATGAAATCATTTTCATTTCTCATTACTTCCATTAGGAT